ACTCTGCAAGCAGGATAAATGTGACTTAAGAGTCCTGAGAAACTATGTCTTAATATGAACAATGGAAAGCAAGGATTAGGAAATTACCAGGCTAATCACTGATAATGTGCATCTCCCTGATGAGACCAAGTGTTTGTCTTCTGTTTTCATGTTCCACTGCACTGGGAAGGCAGGGAAGGGGGTCCCTGTGCCACCCCTTAAAATGGGCTGATCCTTGCTGACACTAAATTGCCATCCACAGATACTCTTCCTCCTCCCTCTTCCCTCTCAAGACTTTCATACCAGTTTATTACCTCTGAAACAGCTTAAGCTGCTATTTTTTTTTTCCTTTTTGGTCTGCCTGCCCCCTCCATCCCTGCCATCTTGTCTTGCTCACATCACAATGACTGCTTTCTCAGTAAAGCTCAGCCAAGGCCATATGTCTGTACTGTATTTGAGGAGGCCTTGGATTAAAGATATCTGAACACCTAGGCTGAAGGTACCCATCAGTTCCTCAGCTGGGACTAGAATGCATGCACTGATAGACCTGAGACAGGAGAGATCCAGGAAAGCCTAATGCATGCAGTGAGATCTGAAGCAGCACTTGAATACTTTAAGTGTTATTTTATCTGGAACCAAGGGGTAGAGAATCAATAGGAATAAATTACTTTTAAGAGGCAGTAATAAAAAATATTGTCAATTTTCATTTTAAAAATTAACAATATTCTAGAAATAAAATGCTTGTGTGAGTCCTTGGCCAATTTATTTTAATTTCTGCAAATACCGGCAGATTCTTGTGCATTAAGTGTAAAGCTGCACAATTAGTTATACTGTGGTTGTGGAAAAATAATGAAGATTCATATTCCAATGAAACTTTTCGTGTTTTCTTCCAGAATCAGTTTAGTAGAAGAATAGTCTGACTTAATATTTAGAAACAGAAATACTATATTTTCTGTGAGTAATGAAGAGTTTAATGCTTTAATAGTAATATCTGTAAGAGATCAGTTACTGCAGGTAATATAATTATGGCAAAACATAAATTGACCCAAAGTAGAAAGCAAAGCATCAAACTAATGCATCAGACTAGATCCTAAAATTAGAAGTAGCAGCTGAGTCAGATTCTTGATTTTAGAAAATGCTTTAGCAAACAATCTGCTTTCCTAGGGAAGAAAATCAGGTAGTCTCTAGGGTGAGTACATTCCTAGAGGGCAACAAGGAACAAAATAGTCATAAGGAGAGAACGTAATAGGAGGATTAAATTTCAGGAGTGATATATGTTCTTCAGTTACTGCTTCAAATGCATAACATTATGACTTTGGGTCCTTGGTATATCTGGATGGGGAGAAAGCTCCCCTTTTCCTCCTGAAATATGCTTAGTTATTGATTTGACTTGACTTTTTTTTTCTAGTTATTGTTGGGGCTTCACCCCATATTTGCTTCTCACTATGATCCCACCCTGTGATTCCTTCTGAAATCAGGGCTAAGCTTTGTTGAACTTGCAGCTGGGAAGAAGTGGTTATGATGTTTTTAAATGGTTTGCCTGTTCCTTGTTAATTATAGCTTAAAAAATCTCAAAAGTGGTTTTACTTCACTTAACAGAATTCAAACTGCGTAACTCTGTAAACCTAGCAATTGGTTAAAGGAAACCAGTGCTTGAAAGAGTTTTAGTGCACAATAAGAGACAGCTTTAGCCTTCATATCTTCAGAGACTTCAAAACACTTCTCATAGTCATCAGAAATAAAATCTAAATCGGCTCATAGGTGGGTTCCATGCGCTTATTAATGATGAATATTTTATCTCACAAATGGTTATTTGCTCTTCTTTTTAGAAGAAAACACTGAGCCACTAGCATTTTATAGAAAAAAAAATACCTTGTATGGAGAAGAATAGCTTTAAATCTCTATGTGTGCTTCTAAAAAAAGAAAAACCAAACCCAAAACATTTTATACCTTTCTCCGTATTTTTAATAGATTAGCGATTCTATTAAGAGCTGTAGGCGCGCGATCTTTCCCTAGGTTAGCGCGAAATTCAGTAGGAGCACCGTGATCACCCTATCCCGTCCCGTGTCGGTACCTCCGGGGGCGCAACTTCCCCCCCAAAACCGCGAGCGCCCGCTGGGGCCGCTGCAGCCGTTTCCCGGGACGGACAGCAGGGGGCGCGCTGGGAGCGGGCTGACCGTGCTCTGCTGCCGGTGGTCTCTGCGGCAGAGCGCGGGGACCGGCTGGGGAAGCTGCCTTCCCATAGGATTAGATCAGCATATTACGATTTAAGAACTGGTTGATTTTTGGTTGACGGGATATAAGAATTGACACAGTTATTGCGTTTGTTTAATGAAAGGGAAGAAATGATCCATTCCTTAAGCAGTCCGTAGAGGATGGGGAATTGAGAAAGGTAGCTTAATTCTGTGACAGCTTTTCCAATTGTCACGCTGAAATCCATCATGAAGTATAAATGTCTTCAAAGTTGTTCCATCGGTTTATAAGTGTCACCATTTCAATATAAGCATTAAAAAATAGAAATAGTCAAATAACATCTAGACTAGTCATATGTTATTTAACACTGTTTTTATTATTTATAAACAGTGATGAAAGCTAATGACATGTTTTCACTGGACAGACTTATTCCAAAGAATTCCAAGAATCATCTCTGAAAGTCATGGTCACATAATCCTGGAAATAGGCATACAGACTAACTGTTTTCTCTCTGAAGGTTTATAGCTGCCTGTTGGGGTTTTGTTTTTTTTTTTTGTTTGGGGTATGGTTTGGATTTCTGAGGGTGGTGGTGTTTGGGTTTGGTGAAACTTTGCTTTTTCCATTAAGATGCAGTGAATGGCTTGAATTGTGTAAGAAACTGCTACATCTCCATACAAAAGTCTTTATTTCTCCTATTCCTTCTGCACGTGGAATTTGTATCTTTAGCACTGTGTTTGTGAGGTATGGTAAATCAGTGTGAACCCTTAATGGTGTCGTTCTGGAAGGCCAACTTCATCAAGATGTGAGGTTACTGGCAAGTAACTGTGAAGGTGGGCATGGCCCACAAGTGTCAACTGCTCCTTGTGCTAGTTTATTTAAGTCTGACATAGATGCCTTTTCAAGATGCACAGCAGTTGCATTCCACTTACAAGTGGCTTACTAGTATCTGGGCTACCAGAACTGTGAGGATAAAAACTTCCACTCATATGTTTGCTATAGAAAGTTCTTAACATCATATGTATGTGAGGATCATGTGAACAGAAATACAACATAACTTGTTGTGGAGATGAATTTGGCTGCAAGTAATTAGTATGTACTTATACATGAAACTAGATTCTTGATTGGTCAGTACCATTACAAGCAAAGCCAGATTTTTTGCTGGCTTGGGCAAATTTGATGTGGAAATTTAATTCCAGAGTAGATATGCCATAATTAGTTTGAGGGTCTTTGAATGGATGTATGGTTTGATTTTGGTTTTTGTTTTCCTTCTGAAATATCAATTCGATACATTTGGCAAAGTTCCCTGTTTATGCTGGCCTATCAAATAAGTGGCTTCAAACTGAGACATTCAACATCTGGTAATGTAACAGATTAGTAAAACAGGGTCAGTAGTTAGGAACTTGCTTGAAGATTACAACGTTAAGTGCTGTGAGTTAACATTGTTTGCAAACAGCTATTTATTAAATGAGAGAACCTTAAAATTTTGCAAAACACTCCCAATATTTACTGTTTTTACTGTCTGTAGCCTCAAGACCATTTGCTTGGTCTTGATAAAAACCCAATTTATTTCTGTTGGGTCTGTCTGCTGTGGGTGGCTGTGCTTGGGTAGACTGCATGTTTTTTCTTGGGTTTTTTATAATCCTTACATGGGCAGTCCTGTTGATTTTGAGGGGCATTATTGTCACATTTCATGTAATTAGGACTGTATCAGTGCAGTGTTTCCTGTTGTGCACTTATATAAAAGTTCTTTTGGATTCTTTTTGGCATGCAGTGTGGCAGATTTGAAGCATCAGTTTATTTAAGTTTAGACAGAATAGTAAGTAATTGCTGCAGGCTAATAACTACAATAAGATTTGAATAATAAAGCATTCATCTGGTTCTTAACTGTAAGTCTAATTAATGGAGTATTTATATGTTACATTCATTTCAGCAGGACATAAAAAATATAATGGTCCGTAATGATTTTTACAATGATACATTAAAAAAATATACAAAATATTATTTTTACCACTGTAAGAAGTTTTATTCTAGAACTGTTCAGTTTATAAATTGTACTTAAAAAGCATTGTATCCCTAGATCGCATTACTAACAATGGTACAAGGATTGCAGAAAGTGAAAAGCTACAACTGATAAGCTTTAAATAGGTATTACTATAAACTGTTAAATACTTTTAAGTGCTGCATTTTATTCAAGACATCCTTAGTTTATTTTTGAAGTAATGACTGAATTACATGCTTCTCTGTTACAAAGTGTCAGCTATTACCAGAAAATCTGAAGTCCTGTTTATTTTATACAGGAAACATACATAATTTACTAGCTGACAACTGTTTTATATGACATTTCAGTGCTGCTATCTCCCAAGATTAAAGGGGTTAATAGTATACCTCCGTTTTAATGCATGTACACGTTTTGTGAAACTTCTGCACTTAGATTCTGTGTATACTTTTTAGGTAGAATGGCTTTATATAGGATCCTTTTGGATGTACTCCCATAGTTCTTCATGTGTTGGAGTTTTAAATATATCTTCAATATGTATGTAGGACTGAGTGTGGCTTTACACACTCTTAAATCACGTAACATTTGAAAAACACTTACAGTATTCTGTACAGGATAATTTACTCACTACATGCACAATAATGATAAATTCTGCTATTTAAATCCCAGCAAAATGACTGAATCCTAATCTCTAGGCGTTAACTGGGAACATACAAAATACTTTTAGTGGAAAACATTATCTAGAGCATCCTGAAATAATCATGGAATTATAATAGTTACGAATCTATTTAGCAGATTCATTAGCAAAAATAAACAGATGTCGATAAAAGTACTGCTGAAAGAAATAGCTATACAATTGTTCCTCTGGGTCATGTCAGACTGATACATAAAAGGTTAGATGAAACATGGCCCTACCGAGCAAGAGATACTGTCTCACAGTGTTATCCTTCTGGCCACTGATGCACCTGCTAGCACTCACGATGCACTGCATGTGTTGTTTCTGTGAGCAAGGTTTCTCAGTAAGCCTATTTTACTCCATCAGTGAAGCAGAGGGGCTGCCTTCCACGCAGAAGGGCTGTGGCTATTGCAGTGACTACCGCATTCAGAAGCGGCAGGAGAAAACAGCAACGGGTGAAGTTACCAGCACCTAAAACAGCAGGATGATTACTGTTCTCTCATGCTGATGTTGTATTTGAGCTGGAGTAGGATACTGACTGTCGTTTTGCTATTGTAGATGAGAAATAAAGCAGAGCTGTAGAATGAATTAGTAGCTAACACCATGATTACTCTTAGCTGATAGCACAAGTTGTAGGAGGGGCAAGAAAAAGCAGAAAAGGGAAGAAAAAAAAAAGAAACCTTTCATGCTGCCTAGGGAATACGGTGGAATTTAGAACAGACACTGTTGCGGACTGACAGCATGCCTGATTGCACTTGAGTTGAATCACTGCGAGGCAGACTCATGTTTGTATTGTACCGTTTTAAAGCTGAAGGAGGAACAACAGAATAGTAATGGAGTTGTGTACAGTTTTTTCTGCGTAAATGGAAAATACTATGAAGATGGTGGTATGTAATTTGTATTTTATTTTTAAGAAGGATTTAATCCAGGTATGTATCCTCTTTGTATGTTTGCCTCTTGTCTACATATATTTTTATGTTTCCTTTGTTTCCTTTCCTTATTTTAATTCTGGATGTACCTCCCACTGTTAGAGCTAATGCAATGTATTGATGATTTGTAACTGATTTGATTTCTAATGCTGTAATGCTGATGAAACTGTCTGGGCTTGTGGATTTAAGAATCAACACTTCATTAAAAAGTAGGGGGGTTATTTTGTAATGTTGATAAGTTCACAATGTAAGTTAAGTAAGACAGTATAGTATTTGATTTCACAATGAGTTGGAACATTTTAATTGGTATAAAAAGACAAACAGTATACATATATGAATACATGGTGAAAATATAGTGTTTTGTTTATATCTGCCAGTACTTTTTTCCTAGTCCATGATAGGATTAGTAAAAAATTGAGCTTCACAGATGCTTATGTATTTCTAGGTCTTGATTAATCTTGAAGATGAACACCCTGCAGCTTTCTTTTGAAGAGACAGCTTGCTTAGAATACATGCTTGATTCTGTTCCTCAGCTAAACCTACATGTTAGAATACCCTCTCTCATATACCTCCCCCAATCCATGACCTTAAAATAGCACGTAGCTATTTAATACTTTTTTTGTCCATTCTTTTGGGTTCAGAAAGATAGTATTTAAACTTCTGCAATTCCAGAGTAATTGCAAATAGCAATAGCTGAAACCAATTTCTTAATATGAGATTGATGGTTCATTTTGCTTTAAGAGAAATAATTATACAGCTATGAAAATGTGACTGTATTCTTTACCTCTCAACTTTCTTTAGTCACCTAGGACCTATTGCATTTTTTGTCTTAAAATTTTCTTTCAGCTGACTACTGATTGATTGTATGTAATAAGTGAAAAAGAATATAAAGCTATGCGCCCTTAAACTAAGGACAGTAATAGTTGTCTTATAATGGCCATGTCTAGTAAAATGTATTGAAAATATGTAAGACATCAAAAATAATGCTCATCTGATCTGTCCGCAGTCCTGAAATCTCTTAAAACATTCTGTTGCACTTCTGCTTTGAATGCAGCCCAGTTTTAAGTGGGATTTTTTTTTTTTTTAACATGTTGATACAAAAAGGGTTAATGTCAGTTCCAGCATCTTAATACCGATGTTAACCCTTGGCTGACAGGAATTCTTTTGCCTTAAAAGCAATCACTGATGCAACATTATTTAACTGCTTTCTGATGTGAAAATAAACTTGGATCATGAAGTTGTAGTTATTTTTCACAGAGGAGGTGATAAAGTGCCTTCTTCATGAATGAAGCTGTTGGTGATTATACAGTATAGGTATCTTAATTTAGTGCAGTATACAACTGTGATTTGGCAATTGAAAAGCTAAAGTTACTTGACACATAAGAGTATTGTAAAAATTGGTGCTAGTTCTTACTACATAAATCAACACACTGAGAAAAGCATTTAAAGAATTCTGTTGAGTCTAGAAGTGTTGAGTGAAAAGTAGTATTTTAGGTTAAAACATCTTTGTCTCATAAATTACTTTAATAAAAGATATGATAGAAATTATGGTTAACTGTCATCTCAAAGATGTTTCATATAGAATGAAGTCATAATGCAAGACAGATTAGGTTTTTCAGAAGAATTTACACAACCTGAAGAGAGTTTTATAAAGGTTTTCTGTCACTGTACCATTTTTCTTGATCCTTTAGTGATGTCAGCACAATGTTATCATAATGACTATATATTGCTGTGGAAACACTTAGGGAATCACAGGTGAAGTACTGGGATTCCAGAACAGTTTCAAGGAGGAGAAGACTGATAGCTCAGAATACGTCCAATTCATTGGAATATCAGGGAAGACTGAAAATTCCAAACTTTGTTTTAACTGTAGTGTTGTGAAAATCTGTGAAGAATGAAGTAGTATACTAACTTCTGCCTTGTGAGACCGCTACAGGAAAACAGAAGCTCTGAAGCATAAAAATCCTTTGGCATCTAAGGAGGTTCTTGTACACGTTTTTTCTCATCTGTGTCATTCAATTAAATTGATAGCTGTAAAAGAGAGATTCTTACTTCCGGGTAGAAATCTAAGTATCACTCCATAGTTGTCAGTATATTGGAGCACACAAAGTAGGGATTTTTTTCTTACATAATTTGAATTTAGAATTAGGTTTAACATCTACCATTCTTATCAATGAATGTCATTTCAGGTGTTTAGCAAGCATGGCTTCTAACTGTGTGTGCCTACTCATCCTAGTGTATGTTGCTTTCACAGTAGTTGTAGTTGTGGTTTGTGCTTGTGGCATTTTTCGAATGTAAATGTCACAGATGATTGCTACCATTTATCGCATGAAAGACTTCTTTATCTAAATCTGTCCATTTCATAGTTTTGTGTTCTAAGAATTTAGTGGAATTATTAGTTTACCACAATTTAGAAAGCATTTAAAATGTTTTTGTGGGGAAAGGGTGGAATCCAGAGTGCATGCAAGTAACATTTTGCCCATTTAAAGTTGTTCCCTTAATCTAAGCATTTCACAGATAATTTTTCTAAGTAGTTTAGGAGAAAAACTTCCCTTGCCCACCCCCAACCAAAAAAGTCACAGCTCTCCAAAATAATCTGTGTTATATAGAGTAATGTAGTGCAGGCATGATCATAGACTCCATAGTGGTCCCTTATCAAAGAGGGATCTAATTCAGGGCAGAGAATTGCCCATCCCAAGGCTCAGGCCAGTACAATTAGAGGTTTAAAATTCTATAGCTGGAAAAAAATTGGAGGGGTTCTTTATATGTAGTTTTTTTCTCATGGAATTATTTTAGAGATTCCTTTTAAGTTGCTGGAAAGTTTGAAATGTTAAAATTGCATGAGACTTTGAATATACACGTAGTCTACATATATCCTCTGCATATGTGTTATGCTTTGGTGTGCATTAAATTATTTGTGCTCTCAGAGTATAATGCTCTGAAGAAAACGGTTGAAAACAGATAAAGTTAAGGACAGAACTAAAATTTGGTCAAATGCATGTTGATACTTCCTATTTTTAAAGGCATTAAATAGGTTCTAATTATTCTGTACTCTGTACAGGATTTTTTTTGTGTATTTATGGTAATCTGACATAGTAGCATGCATGTAACAGACTAACTCATATTAGAAGACAATATGCCTGCTACTGACTTAGTAATACAATTATCCCTATGTTGTCAGCAAATAACTTTTCCATCTCCAGGTTTTCCATTCCTTTTGTAATCTGCATTTATATAGGGATGGACTGTTAAGTGGAATTATCTCTATTTCAGCAGCTTTTGGACTGACTAAACATAAGTTTATATAGGACAGCATAAATCATATACACAGCTGTAAATGTGAGGGAAAAGGACTCTCGGGTTCATTGTTGCCACCTTCTTTATATACTACAGTCTCTTTTTTTTCCTCATTAAAAATATGAGGAAACAGAAACTTTAAGGAAAAAAAAGGCTCGTACATCTAGTCAAATAATACTGAAACTGTGTTCCAAATCATCTGCAGTCTCTTAACCCTTAGGTATATAGTCAACTGCACTATAGTAAGCTGCTCTCCAAAGGGAGCACATTTCAACTTTAGGAATCATTACAATAGGTTTTTACATTTGCGTATCAATCTACTATATTTGGAAAAATTATTTATTTTTTTTTTTAGTTCTAATTAAGGCCATTGTACTTTAAGGACAATTGCTTCGAATATTATTTTAATATTTGTAAGTATAAATAACATTCTACACATTTGATTCTAAAGAAATAGTGTTCCAAATGTCAACGATTTTATTTGTAGTTCATAAATAACCGGTTGGCTGCTTTTCCCTCACAGTTGCAGTAACAAGACTTTTCAGAGAAATGCAAATAGAATCATAGAATAGTTAGGGTTGGAAAGGACCTTAAGATCATCTAGTTCCACCCCCCCTGCCATGGGCAGGGTCACCTCCCACTAAACCATGTTACCCAAGGACAAAGTCAGTTTTATGAATGTGCAACTTGCTTCTATTGTTATCTTTAAACTTGATTAAGTTGTATGCTGGAAGAAGAGTAAGTCAAGTAGCAGCTATGAATGACTGCCTTTTAGTATAACTGTTAAATATTCAGATTGGATTCCACAGTGTACTTAATGAGCATATGTGCAAGCTCTTCAGGACAAATAGAAAATAAAGAGATGGTAGTCTCTTTAGACTTGCATTTGGAAAAGTAGCTTGCCAGTTAGTAGTATTGGTAACACTCCCTGTAAATAGTGAGGCAATATGTTTAGTGGTGGTTAGATATACAGTAATAGTAGGATCCATAAAGAAAATATCACCAGGTAATTAAGCAGAAAGAGTGACCTTTCCATATGATACTGGCAGGCAATAGGAATAGCTTTTTGTCAAAAGAGAGTGCTGATAGCGCTCCATGCCCTCATGTGAATGTGGGAGGAGATGATAGAATAGGGCTAAATTCTGCTGGTAAAAACCTAAGGAATTTCTGGAACAAAGAGTAATCCCAAAAGAGAAAGTGGAACTATTTTCTTGCTGTTGTCCCTTTGTTTGCTAGGGTCTGCAGGCAGGTCATCCATGTATTAGAAGCAGTATCTCAAGGTAAGATGATAAATATCACTTTACCTGTAGAGACTCACCAATAACACAGATTTAAAACATTAGTGTTCAATAATGTCCAGAAAAACTGACAATTTAAAGGAGCATATAATTGTTCCAAATTAATTCTGTATTAAGTCATCTGAGAAGTTTGTCGGTATAATGCTACTGTTACAGCAAGCTAATGAAGCAGTCTGGAGTATACACAGTTATACTGTCTGAAAAGAAGGAGCTTAGGCTTTGCCCAGCAGACATGCACTAATGGTAAGTACAGTTATGTCAGGATAACCCTATTCCCAGGTGAATGTAAGACTTGTGGAAGACCATACTTGAGAAATCTGTAGATGTGAATTCTAGCTGTTCTGTTATTTATTCCTTATGTTCCTGATAGTAAGAGAACATCTCTTAGCCTCGGTTTCTGTGTCTGTGAAGTGTATTAGAATCATAGAAGAGTTCGGGTTGGGAAGGGCCTTAAGATCACCTAGTTCCAACCCCCCTGCCATGGGCAGGTACACCTCATACTAAACCATGTCACCCAAGGCTTTGTCCAGCCTGGCCTTGAACACTGCCAGGGATGGAGTATTCACAGCTTCCTTGGGGAACCTGTTCCAGTGCCTCACCACCCTTACAGTAAAGAATTTCTTCCTTATATCCAATCTAAACTTCCCCTGTTTAAGTTTTAACCCATTACCCCTTGTCCTGTCACTACAGTCCCTAATGAAGAGTCCCTCCCCAGCATCCTTATAGGCCCCCTTCAGATACTGGAAGGGTGCTACGAGGTCTCCACGCAGCCTTCTCTTCTCCAGGCTGAACAGTCCCAACTTCCTCAGCCTATCTTCATACAGGAGGTGCATTGTTTGCGTTTAGTTTGCCATGTGTGATTAATTAATTTCTGTGAAGCATTTTGCATACCACAGATAGGTAGGTGGTAGTGACTACTTTGGCAGTAATGCAGAATGGTATTGCTGCAGAAAAAGACTTTCTGGGTTTGTTCTATTTTTCCCTACCATCTTGATGTTGCAAAGACAAACTGCTGTATGCCTTTTTATAGAGGGAGACTGCACTTTAGTCTCATCTTCTTCCCTGTCTGCCTCCTTCCAATGTGCACAGGTCTCTTGTAGTTGACAGATAATGTAAAGGTTAAGCAGGGCTATGGCTCTGCGTGTTTTTCACTTTTTTTTGATGGGACAGTCTGCATCCATAAAGCTACTTCTGAATAGAGAGGGTTGTTCTGCTTCATTTACTAGGATATGAACAGAAGGTCTGCAGTGATCTATTTTTTTTTTTAAATACTGAAATTATATTTTTAAGATGATTCTGTTTTCTCTCTTTATAAAAATAGAAGTCTGGGTTTATTAAAATGAAAAATTAAATCATGAATCTATGAGAATCCTGTATTCAGACATTTAACTAAAATACACTGCTTGCATTATCATACTTAACCCAGCCCACTCCACCCCCCTTCTACCTGACACATTAGTTTTAGACTTGGGAATAAAATCCTTTAGACATGATGCTTCCAACTGACAAGTTTTATTTTGGCAATTCTTGTTGTCAACAGTATCCTTGAAATCAATCCAAATTACCTGTTCGCCATCAAGCTGATTCTCAAAGGTCTATATTCAGACTTGCTATGGGTAAAAATTTGAAGGAAGTGTTACTGTGTCCTTTCTTTACAGAAGGAACCCATTAAAAGTTCATTTTATTTCTAATCTCACAGTCCTTAACATCTTCCAGTTTCCTGCCTTGTAACTATCCAGCAGAAAGTCTACACTGCTGTAGCAGTTCAGCTCAATTCCTTATGCTTAAAATGGGTTAATCCATCTGTGTTCAACTTTACCATATAAATTAATTTAAGTCAATAAACAAGCAAGGCGAACATAAAAAATGGGGTCATGGTAGTTTATTGGGAGACCTGGATAAAACCAGAAAAATCACTGAATCACAACTTGCAGCTCATTCAGATAACTGATTTAGTCCTATGTGTTTCTCAACAGACTGTTCCCTATTTCCTAGAGTTTTAACCTACACTAATTTAAAATGGTGAGAACCACCCCATGCAAATCATTTACAAAAAGAAATGGATGAGACCTGTAATGACTCAAACTTCATTCCATGTGTAGATATACAATTTTCTAAAATGAGTGTTTGATGAAGCAATGGTAGGCTGCAAACTGATGAACAGATCATGACTAATATAGCTGAGATGGAATGGAACTCGCATGAGAGAAATTAAATCTGCTCCATTTAGCAGGTGTCTGCGTTTGTAACAGTAGAACTTTTAATTTACTATGGCATTGTCAGAAACTGGGTTTAAATAAATTGAGTACTGAATTTGCAGCTCTCTATAATATTTTCAGTTATCTTTGATACAAAGCATAGGTTAGACATTGGATAAAAAACATATTGTTGACTATGAAATCGAGATTCTTCTACAGAGAAGAATTAAACCTTTTTTTAAATTAATGGAAATATTCCAGGTTCAAATGATAACTTCATTAATTGTTAATGTTTTGTAGGCTAAGCCAGTAAAAAGCCTTCTAGCTTGTTTATGCATTGGTGATTTGAAGTCTTCTAAATTACAAGAATGTCCAAGTCATCTGCGTGAAGTTTAAGCTGTGGTTGTGTGAGCAGAGGAGCCAGGCAGTCACACTTCAAATCTTCTTCAATAAATGGTTACGAACATGCAGTGTAATAGCTGAATGATTAACAAGTGTTTCTACATCTAGAAACATGCCTTTGATACTGAAAAATGTCCCAGGATGGTTCCTTCCTCTATTAATAATATTTGAAAACAAGGCAGCATTGGCTCCAGTTAGAACTTTGTAATATTCTGATGAGAAATGCTGTTTGCATGCCTTGAAAATTGCATTCAGTCTCACTGAGCGTTCTTTTGCTTCTAAACATTGCTTTCTCTTAATTCACTCAGTGTTCTGACTTCAGGCATAAGCCTGGAAGCAAAACAAGTCACAAGAGCTATGCTGATATGTTAAAAATGTGATTCATGTTCCACAGGTATTTCACTTATTTATAAAATAACAGGCAGCAACTTTGGGAAGGATGGAGACTGTTGCCTATGCTTGTTCTGCTTCCTCTTGGCTGCATCCCAATTTTGTTATAACTGGGAAAGAAATGAATCTATTTACATCCTCTCTTCCATGATTCCAGAAGTCATCCAGGCTTTTACCAGTTTTGCTTGGATTCTTTTCAACATAGTGCATTTTGCTGCTGCAGTATGAATCAGTAGTTAATGTTTATTATTGACCATAAGTATGATAGTAAGCTCAGTGAAGAAAAACTGCGTAATGAAAAGACGAGATCTTGAGGTGGTTGAGCAGGCCATAATGTTTCATATGGTGCCATGCTGTTTGCATATGGGGAAGGCCGTTCTTACCCTTTACTCTGAAGACACTACAGAGCAAATTTTAACCTTTCATATACTGTGGATCTGAATAAACTTGTTATTTTGCCAAAGAACTTTTAACTGATTTAGGAATGGCCATTTTAAGAACTAATTCTTGGATTTTTCTGAGCTATTTGTCTCATTTTTATTCTACAGCTATGAGACTGGGAGGTGAATGATATGCTATACAAAAAAAGTACATTTATATATTTAAAATGCATTGACTACATTTCTATGGAATGCAAGCTTTTATGTTATGGAATAGAAGCTTCCACATACCTCATGAAATCTTTTCTTCTTCCATATTTTAGACGAAATTGCTTTCTTGTAGTGCCACCTATTTTTGTGCTGAAACTAACAAATCATATCTGTTCTCCCTCTTGCTTTCATTTTTTGTGGTTTTGTGATTTCCTTTTGTTTTTTTTTTTCTGTGAGCTTAATAGTGTAAAACTTGGTAAGCTTGATGAGAATGTTCCATCAGTTGTCATTATGGTTTTCTGTTAATTCTTAAAGAAGAGAAACTAAGAAGGTGTGCCCACTTTAAATCCTGGCTTACCGTCACATGTGTTAAAATCCCCTATAAAAAGAAAGCATCTACTTTGCAAACCGTAGTCATATGCATAATTCTATTTCAAGATAGAGTAGTACTTCATGAATACAATATTGTTTTTTATCAGAATCCCACCTTGCTCCAGAAGATGAACCAAGAGAAACTTGAAAAATTCTATTTTACTAGCTTGTAGCAAGTCATTCCCCAGTCAGTTTTTTGACCACTGCTGTGCGTCATATGGATCTAAGTTGAAATGTCATTACCCTGAAGAAAAAGCAGATAGCATTAATAACAGATATCTCAGTTAAAAGTTGGAGAATTGAACTGGACAAAGAAGCCTGTGAATACCTATAGCTTATTCATTTACGTTAAAAATATTTGCTTAAACCTGCTTTCAGCTTCAATTGTTTAAGAAAAATTCTATTCACACAATTATGGGGAAAGTATAAATAAATACTTAAGTCCTCTGTGTTTCAGTTGTTACCCCATTAAACCAACATTGGTATTATTGAATGATAAGTTTGCTTGGCAGCCATTGTAATGTCATTCCCTCCTTTCTAGACACTTCAAGAACCCATGTGCGACAGAGTGAGATTTCGCAAGATGTACAAACCCCCTCCAGGATTTGGTTTCAAACAAGCAGATTTTTAATTTTTTTTTTTCTGTCAAATGATGCCAGAGCATCAGAGCACTTTATAGTCTCTGTGGATGAAATATTTCCTGATGATCCTGTTGGAGATACAAACACTTGTCTGGATCAAAAATTGTGGTTTATGGAAGCAGCCTAATACAAATTACACTCCATGGTTTCTGCTCTCTTAAAAAACCTGATCTCGTCTTACATATATAAGCTTTGCAAAGGAATGTTTACAAAGAAATCGGGAAATAGTACAAAAAGGAAAGAGAGTTGTCAAAGCAAAAAGGAACAAGACTTAACTCAGATTGGGCAAACAAAGAATCCAAAATTTTCAAATACTTTAAAGAGCACTGTGAAAAAGATTGCCAAGTGTCCATCTGCTCGCAACTTGTCAACTGAAGAAGAGGAAAGTAATAGAGAATTTTCACTTTCTCCAACATTCAGTTACAGAGTTGCTATTGCTAATGGACTGCAAAAGCATATTTTTGTAAGAAACAGTAATAGTGAAGATATAGTTCAAGATCTGTCTTCAAATGATAGTTCATATTCTGAGTCACTAAGTGAAGGAAAAAGTAGCAGCAAGAAAAACGAATACTTATCACACACAATGCCTGTGAGACGCAACAGAAAAAGCTTAAGCAGCCTGGCACCATCTGATGGAAGTTCAGATGGAGAGCGCACTTTACACACACTGAAGCTGGGAGCTTTACGAAAACTGAGGAAATGGAAGAAGAGTCAAGAATGTGTCTCATCTGACTCAGAATTAAGTACATGGAAGAAAACATGGGGTTTAAGAAGTAAATCTCTAGACAGAACTGGCCGTCACCAGAAATCAAATACTTTTGAACCTGGCTTTAGTTCAACAAGCTGTATTAGCCAAACCCATGATGTTATGGAAATGATCTTTAAAGAGCTTCAGGGAATAAGTCAAATTGAAACAGAACTGTCTGAATTAAGAGGGCATGTTAATGCTCTGAAACAATCAATTGATGAAATTTCAAGTAGTGTAGAAGTTGTACAAAATGAAATTGAACAATTGCGAACTGGATTTGTACAGTCCAGAAGAGAAACTCGGGACATACATGATTACATTAAGCAGGTGGGCCATCCAGGAAACAAAGCAAGTCTTAGGTTTCTAAATGTGCCTGAAGAGAGGCTTGAAAAAACTGAAAGCATAGTTTACAGAATATTAGTAGGTAAAATGGGGTTCTCAGAGGCACAAAGCGCTATTAAAATTGAGTTTGCCCAAAGACTGGGGCAACAAAGGGACTGTCCAAATGCAAAGCCAAGACCCATTCTTGTTTACTTTGAGTCCTCACAACAAAGAGATTTGATTTTAAAAAAGTCATATAAACTTAAAGGAACTGGCATTGGAATTTCTACAGACATATTTTCCCATGACATAAAAGACAGAAAGGAAAGAGGATTACCTTCCTCTCAGACATATGAGAGCATGGATATGAAACTTCTAACTGTGGATACAAAAACTAAAATGCATGACTGGGAGTCACCTGACAGTGATAAAGACTTGGAATCAGATATAAATAAGAACAGTTATGCAAGGATATCCAAATCCGCATTTCAAATAAAAACGAGCACTACAAAGGGGAGTATTGAGTCCCCAGATACTAAAGACCTTAATAGAACGGTTGACAATAACACCTTTTCAAACAGAAGAAATTATGACAGTCAGTCACCAGAATTTGACAACATGGAAAAAGAGTCAAAGACCTATTATTCAGACATGACTCCTCTATGGCATTTACACAATGATTTTGCGACACCAAAACTTAGCCGTTCAGAGTCAGATTTCTCAAAATTGTGTCAGTCTTACTCTGAGGATTTTTCAGAAAATCAGTATTTTAGCAGAACAAATGGCAGTTCATTATTGTCTTCCTCTGATCGAGAACTCTGGCAGAGAAGGCAAGATGATTCTACAAACTGGTATGGCAGTTCTCAGGAGCAGACTTTTGTCCAAGATATGCAACAGTATCCAGACCAAAATGAGGTGGGAAATGTAGAAACTGTTGACAGTGGTCTAAGCAATGGAATATGTGCAACGGGAGACAGAAGCCACTATAGTGATTCTCAGCTTGCTTTACATGATGATCTTTCCCCATGGAAAGACTGGAATCAGTTGGAACAAGGGGCAAATTTGGGCCTAGACTCATCTGCACAGGAAGTTTTTGTGTATGATATGAGCAGCCCTTCAGATCAACAGACAGATTTTGGAAAGTGCCAAAATTCTGACCTCCAGTATGATACTGAAAGCTATGATTTTACTCTTGATGGTACTTCTCCATCATGTCCAGGCCTTGACAGCGAATCACAAAGTCAGTGGACTGCTCAATATGATGATTATCAGGAAACAAATTCCATCTCGTCTTATCAGAATCAAAACAGATTGCCTATGATGTACCGAAGTCAGAGTGAACTACAAAGTGATGACTCGGAAGGAACAGCTCCTAAATCATGGCATAGCCGATTAAGCATAGATCTTTCTGATAAGACTTTCAGCTTTCCTAAATTTGGATCTACACTTCAGCGAGCTAAGTCAGCTTTAGAAGTAGTCTGGAATAAAAGTACACAAAGTTTAAGTGGGTATGAAGACAGTGGATCATCTTTCATGGGAAGGTTTAGAACTTTATCTCAATCTACTGCAAATGAATCGAGTACAACACTCGACTCTGATGTTTATGCTGAGCCTTATTGTTACAAAGCAGGGTATGGGGAAGACTTAATTGAACCACCTGGTGAGAATGAAACAGACTATGTAGAAGTAATGGAACAAGTCCTTGCTAAACTAGAAAATAGAACTAACAGTAGTGAAACTAGTGAGCAGGTCCAAGAATATGAACCGGAGCAGCCTTCATATGATACGCCATATGTAGTACTACCAGGGGAGCAATATGACACACTGTTTGAGAGTGTGGTCAGTGAAGAGATATTGGAAGTTGAAAATGACATGGCTGCTGACATAGAAGTACGGGAAGATGAAAATCAGAATGTCCCAGAGATAGTTACTGAAGTGCCAAAGAAAAAAAGGATACGACCATCATTTAAGGAAGCAGCTTTAAAAGCATACAAGAAACAAATGAGTGATTTGGAAGAGAAGATCCTTGCTGGAGGTAACAGTGTTTTATTATTGTCTTTTAAGTAATTATTCTCGCTAGAGTTGGACATTAATTTCTGGATGGTAGTTGGTTCTGCTTTTGTTGAATTTGGTGACAAAAATTCTGCTTATTTCTGGTTTTGTTCATAGGGTGAACTAGTTCCCTGGAAGTTCAGAGCCTAAAATTTTACAAGTTTGTTTTGAAGGAATTTTCTGAACATGTTTTGGAAGCAGTTATGTTGCTTTGAATTTCAGTATCATGAAAATTGAATTTTATAAGATTTCTGTCCTACAAAAAGAACTAAATGGTACACTGTTCTTGTTTTCCTTATAGTTTTATCATTGTATTCACAGGAGTAATCCTGACTGTTCAGATATTACAGTGCTTTAACAGTTTTCAAGGCATGGTTTGTTCTATATTCATTCTGGTGAGCAGTGTTCTGCATCCTGTATGTAACCTATTACTTAAGTACTTGTGAGTGCAAATCTAAACTGGTTTTAATTCTGTTCCTACCTGTACTCCTAGTAAGCCCTCAAAGACTAAGTAGTCAGTCCCCAAGAAAGGGAGAAGGGTGTGGAGGAAAAAGAAGTGTAAATGGTAGCAGTAGTATGAAGGGGTGGCAGAAAAGAGCTTAAATCACAGAAGGTGTTGATACAGATTTGTTCATTATCTTCTGTGCTAACAGACTTCAAAACAGTCATATATATTACTTGTAATATCTCTAGTAATACACAAATATGGGGACTTTCAGTATTAACGTACACTATAATGCAATTTACAGTGCACATGCTATAATGTATATGCATTTTACTGGGAGCATGTAATTACCGTAGCTAGCCAGTTGTTAATTGTCACCTTGACTGAATCTTTCCTTTCTTTATCTGCCTTCAACAAAATAATCACCCAATACATTAATTCTAAAGATGAAAAATTGTGCCTTTAGTCAGAGATTGTGTTTAGTAGTAATGAGCATCCAAAGCTTGTTGAGCTACTTTAAAATCTGTTTTGTACATAGACTGCTTTTAAAATAAACATTTAGCCAAGTTGAATGTATGTTACACAAGCAATTAAATACTGCTAATATGAAAGTTTATTTGAAATTCTATTTCTATATTTAAATAATCACACTAGATTGTGGGTTTCCTTCTTGCAGATATTTTCTACAGTACTGTGTTAGACACCAGATGGTGTATGTAGAAAGAGACAGCTAGCAATAGTATTTCCATGATCTTTTCATGATTTTGAGGTATGGGATGGGGGGGCACAGTCATTTTAGCCAGTTGTTATTGTACAATAGGAATATAGAGGTATGAGGATATAATTCAAGAACGCACACAGGGAACACCCAAAATAGTGAAATGCAAATTGTTTCCGCTATTTAAAGTCTGTGCATTTGTATACATTATTAGATAACACACTGTTATTTATTATTAGATAATAGGTTGTTAGGAAACAAGAGCTAACTTCAGTGTTACATTTCATGCAGTCGGTTCTGTGAATTATGAATTAAATGTATTTGCTCTTTTAGCACAGCAGGTGAAAGGCCTCTTTCAGTCTCTTAGTCTACTGACATTTTTTTGTTCTGAATTACTGAATCATTTCTTATACTACATTTACAGAGAAGCCAACTGACATCAAGGCTAGTTTATGAAAATGAGTTACAAAGCATACAGAATGTATGCTTTGTAGCCTCTCAGTTTTCACAATCTGCCTCCTTTTCTTTGCCTGTGGGTTCATGTGCAGACAGTACTTTTAATTTCAGTAAATAGTATTTTGGGGTGTGTTTTTTTTTCTTTTTTTTTTTTTACTATTTGCAGAAGCAGTAATAACTTTAAAGAAGAGTGACTAATAGCTGATCTAGGATTTACTTGACTTTTATGAATTGGTTGGCCCCTGTAAGTGATTGACAGTCAAGTTCTGATTTATTGTTTGTGGATGAAAAAATGCTAGTTGTGGAGTAAGTTCCTGGAATGAATCTTTGTTATATAACCAAAATATAATCTATTGTTTAATTAATTGTTTCATATCTCCATGTAAGCAGGAGCTGGTAGACAGCAATCTGGCTAACCAGAGATACAGCCAGATAGTAACAGTAGTGTTGTTTCTCCAATTTAATGCAAAAAATACCAAGGTTTAGAATGGTATTATTTTCATTCTAATAACATAGGAGGTAAAGTCATTGAAACTTTGGTTGATAAATAATTTATTATGCATGAGAGCCCCATCAGGTAGTTCTATTCTCTGTATCTAGCTGGAGAGAAAAAAAATATACTGTGGGTTTATTTCTAATGTATTATTTATTACAGCATAGTTTCAGATACACAGTGGCATGAAAGTAATAGGGTATATGGATGAGAGGAGATGTGAGCAGTACATGGGTAATCTTCAGATTTAAAGATCTTTAAGGACATAGGGGCATTGTGATGATGCATGGAAGGCTTGATGGCTTTTTAGAAAAATATCAGTGAAACGCTAGCCAGTGGTTTACTTCTTTTTACAGTGTAATCAAGAGCAGCTCTTTAACTTATTCTTACAGTCCTCACTTGTTATTTTCTAGCATTCTATTTCCCTAGTGACTTCTTTCATTACATCTCTGTCTTGCTGTCTTTTATAAGTGCCTTAGAATAACCATAATTGTCTCTCCTGGTGAAGTTATCACTCTGGACAAGCTTCCAGAATTCCATGCATTCTTCTGAGTTGCTGTTACTATTAATAGACTCTTTCTATGCATGGTAGTTTATGAACAATAGCTTCTTGATCTAGCTGATGAAGATCTCACTGATTGATTGGTGACTGGTCAGATTCTAAGAAGCCTTTGGTCTGAGTTATCTGCTTACATTGCTTATGGTGCTAAGATGTGTGAACTCATCTTACTCTATATGTACATAGAGTAGCAAGCCAGATTACACAGGCCAGGGATGGGAGCTGCCTTTTTAACAGTGGATGAGAGTGGGGGTTCTATTGTTTTATAGGAAGGAGCTGTATTATGTTTAGTGATGCTTGACTTAAGAACAGAACTTGGAGAACAGTATAAATACAACTTTATTTTGTATATGCCTGAAGGAGAAAATGTGATGCTAAGATCTGAAACCAGAGGAACCAGTAATGTACTTGCCTTATAGTGTGATCATCATTTAGTTCCACATTAAGAAAAGCTGTCAGCAAAATAAGTATATTACTAATGCAAATTTCAAACTCTGTCTATTCAAACTATGTCTTTTGAAACAAGTATATATTTTCTTATTTTGACAGCTTTTCTAGCCTTTTTATAATAGCTATTTGCTTGAAATGCCAGAGTCAGCTGTATTTTCCCAGAGACTATAGGCTTTAGAAGTTAATTTAAACTTGTCTTGTGGTACTCAGGCTTTTGTTTCCTTTATATCTTACCTCCATCATGTTTGATTTTGGTACACTTGTAGAGGTTTACGGTTACTAGTAACTAATAACTATAGTTAATAGTATTGTGCCAGTATTGTTGTGTGACTATGTGTCTTGGATTGGGATTTAAAAAATCAGTACTGTGGCCCAGATGAAAATCAATTGATCTGGTACTGTTTAGTAAATGAATCGGTCATTTTATAGCTATTCAGGTGGAAACAGGATAAATCATAAAATCATACAATGGTTAGGGTTGAAAAGGACCTTAAGATCATCCAGTTCCAACCCCCCTGCCATGGGCAGGGACACCTCACACTAAACCATGTCACCCAAGGCTTTGTCCAGCCTGGCCTTGAACACTGCCAGGGATGGAGTATTCACAGCTTCCTTGGGCAACCTGTTCCAGTGCCTCACCACCCTTACAGGAAAGAATTTCTTCCATGTATCCAATCTACACTTCTCCTGTTTAAGTTTTAACCTGTCACCCCTTGTCCTGTCACTACAGTCCCTAATGAAGAGTCCCTCCCCAGCATCCTTATAGGCCCCCTTCAGATACTGGAAGGGTGCTATGAGGTCTCCACACAGCCTTCTCTTCTCCAGGCTGAACAGCCCTGGTTAACCATTACCTTGGTTACAGAAACTGCATATTGGTTGGTCGTGACTGTAATGGAGAAATAAGAAGCTTGTTAAAAGATAAATTGCTTTTAAGTATTAAAGCTTTTTCCTATAGTCTACATTAGCTCTGTTGGGAAGCTGACTCTAAGAATGGACTACTGTTGGTAGAAAGAGAAACAAAAAGTAAAGTTATATCTAATTTTATTTTTTAATTGCTTGAGATGATCCTCACCCTCTAGTCAACCCTGATAAGGCCACATCTAGACTGTTATGGACTCCTTAGTGTAAGACAAACAAGGAGCTACTGCAGTGTCCAGCAGAGGGCCACAAGGATGGTCAGAGTGCTGGAACATCTTTCTTACGAGAGGCGAGAGTTGGGCCTGTTTAATCTGGGGAAGAGAAGACGGAAAGAGATCCCATGAATGCATATAAATATCTCAAAGGCAAGTGCCAGGAGGATGGTGCCAGACTTTTCAGTGGTGCACAGCAGCAGGATGAGGAGCAGTGCTCATAAACTAAAGCACAAGACGTTTCACTGCAACATGAGGAAGAACTTTATTTTGAGGGTGGCAGATCCCTGCAACAGGCTACGGAGGGAGGGTGTGGTTTCTTCTTCCCTGGAGACATCCAAAACCTGCCTGGACACGTTCCTGTGTAACCTGCTGTAGGTGGCCCTGTCTTGGTGGGTGGGGTAGACCAGATGATCTCCAGAGGTCCCTTCCAACCCTAATGATGCTGTGGACTATGTTGACTGATTAAAATAGTGTGAATTGTGTTCAAGTTTGCAGGATTTTTCCTTTAAAGTGCCTTCTCAGGATGTTGGTGCAGATTTGGTAAGGGAAGGATGTCTAGTCAGATGGCAGAATTCTAGTTTAATGTGTAAAATACTACAGGAATTAATAAAAGTAGAATGTGTATATTTTCATGTATTATATCAAGCTGAGCTTCTAATTCCTTCACTGCCCAGTAGTAACAGCTAATTCCAGTCCTGTTTGTACAGGAACATGTTCATATATGTGAAT